GCTGGTTTCACGTCTGCGCGCAGCGCGCCTGCGCAGCCCGGGTCACGTGACACCCGCCGGGCGCCAAGATGGCTGCGCCCTGCGAGACTCTCCTGCAGCTGCTGCTGCCGCCGTTGGCGGTGCTGCTGCTGTGCGCATGGAAGCGCTGGCGGCGGCGGGCCGCGGTCGGGCACGTGGCCGTCGTGGTGCTGGGGGACTTGGGCCGCAGCCCCCGCATGCAGTACCACGCGCAGTCGCTGGCCCGGTGCGGCTTCTCGGTGACTTTCCTGGGGTTTTACAGTGAGTGTCCTGGCGCGCAGGTCCCGCCGCCTTTGAGTCCCGGCCTTGACTGCTTCAGGGGCCCGAGACTCGGCCTCCTTCTTCTTCCTTGAGCAGCCCTCCAAGACTGCACGTCCCCGGACCTGTCCTGGATGGTTGCTTTTCTGCTCGGCCTCTGCCCAGTGAGGCTCCAGGGGCTGCCAGGACTATGCTTCATTAAGAGCATTCGTGTATGATCGTACTTAAAACAGACTGGAACCGGGGGTGGGGGCGTGTAACTCAGGCGCAGGTGCTGCTCCCACACCCCCTGCGCTGCTTCTATGACAGGCTTTGCCTCAGCAGACAGGGTCAGCCCTGAGCGCCCCCTCCAGGTATTCCACGTGTGTCCTGTCCAACTTCCTCACCGCCCTCCTTTTCTGCCTTTCTCCATGTGAGCATCTTTGGAGGTTAACCCAGCCCGTTCCCAGGAAAAGAGAATACTGGTTGCCTTTAGTCCTCGCTTCAAGTTGTAGGGTGCACAAGAGTTGATTTAGACTCTCAGCCTCCCCAAGTGACAGAGCAGGACTGCCTAGCAGGATTTTCTAGGCTCTAATTTTTATGAGGACGAGCCGCAATGGCATAGTGACTATGTGCTGGGTTGCTAGGTCAACAGTTCAAAATCACCAACTGCTCACAAGGAGAAAGACCAGGTTTTCTCATCCTATAAAGAGTTACAGTCTCAGAATACCACAGAGGCAAGTTCTACCCTGTCCTATAGGGTTACTATGAGTCAGAATCAGCCTGATTGGCAGTGAGGTTTTTGAGTTGAGGATTTGCATGGGAGCAGACCACCAGGTCTTCCACCCTCAGAGCTGTTGGTAACCAGTCTGTTGCATCACCTTTGAGCCATTAGGACTCCTTGGCTTTTATAGTCTGCCATCCCCAGGTGAGGGGGCGACTTGGGAATTCCTAGGGGCCTTAGATGCAGCAGGTTAAGCAGTAATCTGCAGTCCACCAGCTGCTCCACTCTGCGGGTGAAAGATGAAGCAATGTGCTTCGATAAAGGTGTCCAGACTTGGAAACTCGATGCAGCAATTCTACCTTGTCCTATAGGATCACCGAGTTGGAACCGACTCGATGGCAGTGGGTTGAAAGATCTATATGAGTGTGGTGGGATCGTTCCGCTGTCCAGGAAATTCATATCTGTTCAATGGAGTGCCAGCTGTGGTAGCCCACTAGACATTGGGTAAAAGTAGGTGAGATTGGAGGCCCTTCTCTGTGGCCCGGCAGCTCGGACCTGGACAAGAACTGACCTCATGATCAGTTCTGGCTACTGAGGCTTAGAGTCTTTGGAAAAGCCTTCCAGAACATGGCCTTTCTGCTCCCAAGACTAATAGAGACATTTTCCTTTCAGACTCTAAACTCCGTGGTGAGCTCCTGGAGAATGACAAAATTGCGATTGTGGGGTTGGCAGAACTTGGCACACCTGCAGGTAGGAAGTACTGTCCACATCAGATCCGCCTATGCTGACTCTGCGGGGGTGGGGCTGGGGGAGAGAGGAGCCTGCAGCCTGCTGAGCTCTCCTTGGTTGGTGATAGCCCCTTTTTGACCAGCAGTTGGGCCCCGAGTTCTGCAGTATGGAGTCAAAGTTGTTGTGCAGGCGCTGCAGCTGATGTGGGCATTTGTAAAGTTGGAGCCCGTAGACTACATTTTCCTCCAGGTACGTGTCAGCTCCCGCCTCGGTTGTTAGGAGTGTCCTTTTACTTCCTAGCCTTTTAAAAAATGCCCGTTGATAGATGGCGCATGTACGAGTGTATCTAAACCTTTAGGCACCTTGCACGTGTTGGACCCTACGATACGTGCTTATTCTATTTATAAAGGACAAGACCCTCAAGGAGATGGACTGAGACAGTGGCAGCAACAGTGGACTCACCCATGGCAGAGGCCATGAGGATGCACAGGGCTTGGCCGTGTTTCAGTGTTTCAGTCAGTTTCGTTGTACAAAGGTGCCGACCAGATGGCCCCTCACAACTGCAGCAGCGATACTATTTTTAGGGAGCGGAGCAGCTCAGTGGTAGGACTCTCACTGTCCGCGGGAAGTCCTCCCAGGGGAAGAACAGACAAGAAAGAAAAGCCTGGCCATCAGTCAACTTGCCAGGGAAGACCCTTCTGCTCACGACAGGGCCACAGCCGATGGCAGGGCTGTCGCCGGAGCAGGAAGCGTTTGGTTCTGTTACGCAGGGGGTTGCTGGGAGCCGGGGCCCAACTTGACAGCCGTTGACGACCCAAGACTGATTGTTACCGACACGCCGTGCTTCCTCCCCATTCGCCCTTGTTCTAAGAACGTCACCTGCCTCAACTCATGTCACCCTCTTGAGTGCCCTGAGAAGTCCGTTCTTGTGTCTCTGAGGGGGGCGCCCCTGCCCCCACGCCCTCACCCCATTAGAATTCCGCTAGCCTTTCAGCCTTTGTACGCTCCCAGGTAAAGAACAGCACTGCTGTGCCCTGACCCTCCTGGTTCTCAGTGGCCCTGGAATCTTCCTTTAGGACACCTTACTCTCTGAGACGGGGGAGATCTCCCCCTGCTCCTTGCTTGCTTCAGGAATTCTGAAGACACTGGCTCTGTGTCACACACATGGTGCCAGCTCTCAGCCTGAGTGTGGCTGGCTGGTTGAGGCATGTGAGGCTCCTCTTGACTCCCCTCTGCTTCTTCTTAGAACCCCCCAGGCCTGCCTGCCATCGCCGTCTGCTGGCTCACGTGCTGCCTCTTTGGGGGCAAGCTCGTTGTCGACTGGCACAACTACGGCTACTCCATCATGGGGCTGGCGCACGGCCCTGCCCACCCCCTTGTTCTGCTGGCCAAGTGGTGAGGGTCTGGGTGGGGAGGGCCAGGGGAGGAGGGAGAGGGGGTGGTGAGTCAGGCCCCCTGTCTTGGGTACCTAGTGCTGCTGTTACATGGACCCCTGTGTACGAGAGGCTGTAATGCACACACAGGGTAGGCCTTGTCCCTCAGCCTCTGCAGCCAACAGCCCAGGCCCGCTAAGACTTCTGAAGGAGGCTTGTTCTCCCTGTCTTTCTCCTCTTCTTGACTAAAAAGGGACCCAACTTTATTGACAAACTGCTGCAGACAATTTGACCTACGTTTGAAGCTACCTATTTAGACAGACTTACCCATGTGGCTGCTAATCTTCCTGGAACAAAATGGGAGGTGATACAAACCCAGTTAGGACGTTTAACTTACACAAAGAGTGACTTTCGACTCCTCTCATTCTGCTGCAGCCCTCTTTGCATATGATGCTAGTGTGGAGGGAGCCTGGGATTTGGTTTTCTTGTGATCCGGATCTGTAGCACTCAGCGCTGGGACGCCCACTCCGACTCAGTGATCTTACAGGCCAAGGTAGAACTGCCCTTCGGGGTTTCCCAGCCTGTCAGGCTTTACAGGAGGAGCCCTGGTAGCATAGTGGGTTAGGAGTTGGGGCTGCTAACCCCAAGGCCAGTGGTTCGAAACCACTAGCCAGTTTTCGGGAGAAAGACCAAAACCGTTTCCTGTGAAAGCCCTGGCCTGCGGGCTCAGAAGCATCGTGGTTTACGAGAAGGCAGAAAGCAGGCAGGCCCAGTGGAGCTAAGTTGTTTGACACTGTAGGGGACCCTGCCAGGGACTGAGTTTGGGCCCCAGCACACAGTGACTGGGGTGAAGGGCAGGGCACCTAGGGTCCAGGGCTGATGGGTAAGCACTCTTGGCAGGTACGAGAAGCTTTGTGGACGCCTGTCACACCTGAACTTGTGTGTGACCCACACGATGAGGGAAGACCTGGCTCAGAACTGGAGCATCAGGTATGAGGGGTTTGGGTGGCAGCGTAACCGATGGGTGGGGAGCCAGCCAGGGGCTCCGAGACCCCCAAGGGGCTGGGAGGCAATTCCTGCAGTGGGGAAGCCAGAGGAGCCTGTAGCTTCCAGCCCTTCCAGTGCATGGCGAGGCAGCTCTGCTTTTCCAGTGTATCTGCTTTTCCAGGTGATCTTAAAGCTCCCCGAGCCCCTGTCCTGAGTGTGGTTGCCTTGCAGGGCTGTGGCCGTCCATGACAGGCCGGCCTCCTTCTTCAGAGAGACCCCCCTGGACCAGCAGCACCGGCTCTTTGTGAAGATGGCCAGTGTCCACCCTGCCTTCAGGCCCCGGTATGTCCGTTGCCCACCTTTGTGGCCTCCCCCATGTCCGCCCACCAGACGGGGGCTTCTAGGACCCTCTGGCCACCAGTTAGTTGGCCAGCTGCCTTTTTGATTTAAAAACAGGATCCATTGTGTTTTAGTGGCTTTTGAGATTATACACAGAGAAATGTCTGTCCACAGTTTTTAACGGGTTTTTACACGCTCAGTTCCATGACTCGGGCTGCGTGTGTCTCTCGAGTTGTGTAGCCCCCCCCACCATCCGCCTCCCCGCACCAGCCCAAACACATGGACCCCTCAGGTCAGCACCTCCGCTTTGGGGCGGCTGTTGTCACCCTGATCCCAAATGCATAGGCCTTGAAAAGACACAGCATTCAAGGTGAAGTTCTTCATTGCTTCAGCTGAACTCCTGTTTGGTTTTAAGAAGACCCCTGGGGGAGGGCTGGGGGGGCGGGGGTTTCAGATTTAAGCGGTCTCAGGGCAGTTGTATAAGGATTGGCTCCAGAAAGCGGGAGCCCATGAGGATTTGCCATTCCATTCTGTGTCCCACCCCTTTGACCCAGCCACTGGTGCCTGTCGATGAGCTTCCGGGAACAAGGCCTGGCCTATTCGCCAGCTTCCCTGCGGAGTGCAGGTTGTCACAGTGCTGGGGGGCTCCCGGTGGAACTTTACGTATCTGCTCGCTGACCCTTTCGGGAAATGTGTGCTGACCTAGCATGCTGGGCTGGCAGCGTTCCTGACCCCACGGTGGGTCTGTGAGTTGTGCACCCTCCAGGGCATCCCACGAAGCTCAGCTCTGTGCACACACCTCCTGTGTGCCCACCAGGACCCTAGTGTGGCCGTGGACAGGGGTCCTGCCATCCTCACCCCACCCTGACTGGTGTCCTCAGCCTCCGGCCACAAATAGATACCCGGGGCTCCAGAGAGTTCGTGGGAAAATAGCAGTTCCTCTAAACCCACGTTTCCACAAACGTTGGGAAGCTCCCGCTTCTTGTGAAAGAACAGAAGCAGGAAACCTGCCGTGCCTGAGCCCCAGCTGGCCGGGCTGGCTCTGTGCTGGGCAATGCCACTGCCCCGGGGCTGGCCGCCCTGCTCTGTGCCCTCTCCCAGCCTTCCCTCTGCTCCCAGCGCCTCCACCTCGGACCCGGCCACGGGGCAGTCCGCCTTCACGGAGCGGGACGCAAGCAGCGGGCTGGTGACGCCACGGCAGGGGCGGCCGGCCCTGCTGGTCAGCAGTACAAGCTGGACAGGTCTGTAGGCCCCCACCTGGGGCTGGAGGACGGGTGCCCGGAACCTGATGGGGGAGGGGCAGCATCCCAAACTGACGCCCGTCCCTTGTCCTTGTAGAAGACGAAGACTTCTCCATCCTGCTGGACGCTTTGGAAGGTAGGGAGGTGCCTGTCACCAGCAGCTCTGGGTGGGTGAGGGGGCTGGCCTGACACGGTGTCCCAGGTGGAGTATTCCTGCCCTCTGGGGCCCTGGGTCTGTTGGCCATAGGCCAGCGTGGGTGTCGGGGCAGGTGGGCGGCCCCAGTCCTGTCTGGGTTAATGAGTGAACGAGGCTGGATCCCATGCTGTTTCCTGGAGTGCTCTCTACTGGCCGGCTGGGGACCAGGCACTGGCACCCCCCTCCCCACACCTGAAGAAGGGATAGACCCCTCTCCCCTTAATGAGCTCCGGAGGTGTAGCAATTAAAGCCCTCGGCTACCAATGGGAAGGTCCTGGGGAGAAAGTTGTGGCCGTCTGTTCCCATAAAGATTGACAGCCTCGGGGAGTGCACAGGGCGGCCCGCTCTGCTCTCGGGGGTCGCTGGGAGGCAGGTGGGAGCAGGTGGGTCTCTGTGCCCTTGGACGGATCTGGTGTCTGTCGTGACCACAGCGTATGAACAGCTGATCGATGGCGGAGAAAGCCTCCCTGCTCTGGTCTGTGCGATCACAGGTACTGCCAGGACCCTCGGGCTTCTGTTCACCGGGGTCTCCTGCATACCCACGGGTGCCCTGGGGGTGGTTCTCCTACACCTGTTTCCCAGAGGGAGGGACTTGGAGCAGGTCCCAAACTTCACTCCCCAGGAGGCGAGGCTCCACCAGTAGCTCCTGTGCGGGTTTGGTCATCCCGAGCCGGGGCTTCAGAGGAGTGGCTGCTGGGCAATCCTGTGCCCGGGTGTGGTCAGGAATGGACCTCGACTCTCCCTGCCCAGGCAAAGGGCCGCTGAAGGAACACTACAGCCACCTCATTGACCACAAGCGTTTCCAGCACATCAGCGTCTGCACCCCGTGGCTGGAGGCCGAGGACTACCCCCTGCTTCTGGGTAAATGCAGCCAAGGGCCAAGGCGAGGTTTGGTTACCCATTGGGCTCCTCACTGGACGGTCAGCAGTTCACAATCACCAGCTGCTCAGAGGGAGACAGAAGAGGCTTTCCACTCCTGTAAAGGGTTACGGTCTGGGAAACCCACAGGACCAGTTCCACTCTGTTCTCCAGGCTGCTATGGGTGGCAGTGCAGAACCTGTGGGGGGCAGGTGTCGGTTGTCAAGTGCGGACTCAAACACCCCCCCAGCTCCCTTGGCTGTAGAGGTAGGTGCCTCTTGGTGGGATTCAACCTTCAAATTTCCAGTTCGTAATCAGCCAGTGCTTAACCACGGTGCCGCCCAGACCCCACGAGTGGAACTCAGCCACAAGCGTCTCCTTGTGCTTGGGAAGGGGTTTGCTTTCAATCCCCTACCGGTGACCTTCAGTTGGTGCAGTCCTCCACTGAGGCCACCCTGAGGCAGGGTGACCCTGCAGAGGGTTGGCAGAGGCTGTAATCTGGATGGGGGCCGACATCTCTGCTGAGGAGTGGCAGATGGGTTTGAACCACTGATTTTTCCTGGTTAGAAGCCCAAACTCAAACTCACTTCCCTCGAGTGATGCTGACTCATCGTGACCCTACAAGACAGGGTAGAACTGCCCCAGTGGGTCTCTGAGACTCACTCTTTGTGGGAGTGGACAGACCTGTCCCGCTAAGTATAGCAAAGACAAGGTATTACTGTAGACAGTCAGCACTTCACACTGTTGGTGCATGATGATCTGTTTCCCGTCAGTCCATCCTGGCACAGGGAGGTTACCAAGTGCCGTCACCTAATGGCCAGTCAGTACCACATGACCCGGGTGCTGCCCTTCCAGGCAGATGGCCAGGCCTTCCTCTAAGGAGCCACTGGGGTGGGGGGCTGCAAACGGCTGAGCGCTTAACCTCTGTGCCACCAGGGTTCCTTTTGACCTGGTGTGCGTGTTTGATGATGGCTGGTTTTTGTTGGGCTTTAAAAAAACCACATTGTGGTTTAGCAGGAAGGCGGATCTGTACGAAACAGCAGGGGCATGGTCAGGATCAGCAGTTACTGATGCTACCAGGTCCCTTACCCGGCCCTGCCCTGGCAGGCTGCTGGGCCCCAGCCACTTGGCTTTGGGGCTGGGGAACCATTGGGTGGTCCACATGGTCAGCACGCTCGCCTGCTAGCTGAAAGCCTGGAGGTTCAAAGTCTCCCAGAGGTGCCTTGGAAGAAAGGCCTGGTGACTCATTTCTGAGAAACCAGTTGCTGGAAACCCCAAGGCGCCCAGGGCTACTCTCCAAGCTGGGCTGGCTTGGTGGCAGTGGGGTCACTGGGTCTGGGGGCCACAGTGGTGTCATCTGATTTCTGAGTGGCATTGACTCTGGACACTGCTGACCCCCACACCCCCTTGCTTATAGGTGCTGCAGACCTGGGCGTGTGCCTGCACAAGTCTTCCAGTGGCCTGGACTTGCCCATGAAGGTCGTGGACATGTTCGGGTGCTGCCTGCCTGTGTGCGCTGTGAATTTTCGGTGGTAAGAGCACCCGGGCTGGGCCCTGGGGAAGGTGGCGTGCCCCTGAGCGGGCACCTGGCTCCTGAGGTGGTTGGTGGGCTTCCATCTGGAGCACGGGCTGAATCAAGCACTAACTCTCTCTGGGGGTCAAAGCAAATGGCCTGTGCTTTAGTCTCCGCCCCCGCCCCTGCTCATTTACATGGGTGTGACATTGCCACAGGTGAGGGAGGGTGCGATGGGAAGTTGTCAACTCGGCATTGAGTCTCAGGCATCAGGTTGGTAGTACAGGGTGATTTAGAACCGCACGGGCGCAGGGCCCTGGGCATTTGGAGTCGAGCCCTGACTACCCAGATAGCTGTACCCAGGGTGGCTTGTCTGCCCAGTGGGGCTGCCTTTTACCGGTTCCTTGGGCCCAGATCAAAATGCAGTGTAGACGCAGTGCTGGAGGGAGTCTGCAGCCCAGCCCAGGAGCACCTGAGAGCTGGACTTCCTGTCCCTGCTGGCCAGTGTGCTTGCTAGGGGCAACCCTGTCCTGTGGCTGCTGAAACAGAGTTCAGAAACAGGCCACTGAGTCCACACCTAGACAAGAGCCAAGATGAGACAGAGGGTTGCCTGTGCCAGCCCACCCGGGCACATCCATGGACTCCTACATGTGCCCAGGAACGGCCCGGAAGGCCCTTCACTTACTGGCTGTAGTGAGGTGGTCCTGCCATCCGGGAGACTTGTTACAGCAGGTCTTTTCCCATCCTGACCTGCAGCTTGGGGTTGGGGGGGGCAGTACCCTGGGGCCCCCCACTCTCCTCCAGGCCTGCCCCCTCCTGGCTTCTCTCCCCAGCTTGCACGAGCTTGTGAAACACGGGGAGAATGGCTTGGTGTTCCAGGACTCTGAAGAGCTGGCAGCTCAGCTGAAGGTAGCCGTAGTCGCCGGCCTCAGAGGGGGCCGTCTCACGGGTCGGGTGGAGTAGATGCAGGGCTGGATGATGGCTGGTCAGCTCCTTTGCTGCTCCCTCTCCTGCTCCGTGAACGTGGGAGGCACACCCGCCTTCCCCTACGGTGTGGGTTGTGTTGGGCTGGGACAGAACCCAAGCCTCAGGCGCCCTGAGGTCGGCCTGGACAGTGTCCATGACAACACCTCCCTGTAACAGTCTAACCCACGGGAGTGGCTGTGTGCCAATAAGACTTTATGTACAGACACAGGCGGTAGGTTGGGTTGGGCTGCAGGGGCCACATTGTGGCTCCAATGGTGACGCTCTGGCAGAGACAAGGAGACAGAGGGAGTGGCCTGCTCCCACGGGTTAGCGAGGGAGCGCTGAGTGCAGGCAGGGTGTTTGGGGGACAGTTGGTGGGGGGGGCTGTTTGGAGATGCAGGAGTGAGCACTCCGGAGGGCAGGGCGGCCCTGCCAGGTGAGCACACCGCGTTGGTGCGGA